CATGCACTGGGCCGATTTATTGTTGGCTGCATCATAGCAACAATGCCCATGGTGTGTATAAGAATTGACTAATTATTTTAGTACTGTATTTACTCATGGCAATGCTGGATATTTTTTGTTCCTACTTACAGCGAGAAATTTCAAAATTGCAGTGGACATAGTAAATTTAATGTGTACGTTAAAAACATGGCGTTAGATGAAGATAATTTATGTTAATGTCTCAATCGATATGTCAAGGGTTACTATCAATATGATTGATTATGATTTTCGCAACCAAGGCAATTACATCGCCACTAGTGCGACCACGTTTCACCATTCTTGTCGGTCTGCAGCAAGGGGCAGATGTCACCAGAAACTCCAGCTGGCCTCGCATCCCTCTCAACTGCCTCTTTCCATCTTGTCGGGTGCCTTCCTCTCTTTCGCCAGACACCTACGTCCTCTGGATTCCAATCCATCAGGGCCCTAGGTAGTCTCTCTGGCCTCATACGACATACATGTCCGAACCATCAGAGTCGCCTTTGCCGCAATAGTAGGGAGACTGGTTGCTGTTGAGTTCTCTCCCTGATGGCTGAATTTTGTACTCGATGGAACCATCGCACTCCCAGGATCCTAAGTTCTGAGGCACTGATTGTCGAAGGCATCCAGCTTGTGTTCTTCCGTGAGGGTGGTAGCCCACATCTCTGCTCCGTACAGTAGTGTGGTGATTATCACAGCATTGTATATGCGAAGTTTAGCCTTCAGGCTGGTTTTACTTCTCCACACTTTACTCAGCTGTGCAAAGGCTGCTGATGCTCTACCCTTCCTCACCTGGATCTCTGTGTCCAGTTTATTGGTCAGTGTGACATAAGAACCCAGGTACTTAAAACTGTCCACAGCCTCAACAGGAGTATCAATATGACAAGATTCAAATAAACTTCCATAAGGAATTCCCCTTTATCTATTATTTATTCAAATATTTTATTATTCTTGTTCACATCGGATGTTGACTTGGGTCATCAATAACACATTATGTAGGATATATCATAAATTAAAGAGTATTGTTGAACGTTCTTGTAATTAAAAGCAAATATGTATATTATGCAAGTATCAATTGCTACAACAAATCCCACAATGCAATGCGGCCCATGAAATCAACATGCTTATTTCATGATATAGCTTAATTGTTTACTGGATCATTTATGTCATTAAAGAGAAAATATGGTATTACTGCATTAAAAGTAGATTAAACTAATCTGCTGAGGGTTTACCTGGCTTGTCTTAGAGCTTTCACCCACAATTCACAATGCTGATCAGATGCACCCACAAAATAATGTTTACCGTCTTGATATGCTGTGAATACGATAAATAATGCTGTAATGATGGATAAATGTTTGGCAGACTTTTCCACTGATGCTTTCAAGTAATCAAGATTTGTATTAAACATTAGTATTTAAATGAAAGCTGAGGGTTTGTAAATAAACTAAGGGACAGCTTTGTGTCAATCACTGTACATAATTACGGTACAAGAAAAAAAAGTTCAAACTAATATATTGTACACAAATTAACAGTTTTCCAATAAATGTAATTCATTGTCACTGCAAGTATACATACCAACTGAGAATACAAATGGTTTATCAGCTCTCGGCTCATGCTGTACTCTACAACGCTCCATTAGCAATGCACCAATTGGCTGTAAGTGATTCCACAAGAAAGTAATTAAAGATTCAGAGTGGAGAATTGTTGATATTTTTAGCATGTTTAAATAATTCTGTTTTAATATTCTAAGCTGAAATCAGCAGAGAATGTTTGTTTTATGAATATACTTATAAAAATTCATAAATTTTTTCTAGAAATTCGTCTCACTGGAATAAAAACTGAATTGGTAATCACTATATTCAGCAGAGCACCCCCTGCATCAATCAGATAGAATAGCCTAAACGTTACTGCACAAGCTCAGAAAATGTGGAATTGAGTTTATTTACTAGTTACATCGAATTAGGAGATTTCAACCAATCAGATTGTTGCTGTGAATAGTTTAATTTGTAGTTAATTCTGTACTTTGATTGCATAAACCATAACCAGGTTACGAAATATAACCACAAAAACCCGTTTTGTAATCGAAGAATTTTGAAGGTCATTAGGTGACATCCATGTCTAGGAGGTGTTGCTGTCTAATTTCAAAACAGATTTGCCAATATAAATATAGCATTTATATCATAATGTAGTGATAGAGTAAGAAATCTCACATGAGTAGATATGCACTGTTCACTAAAACACCAAAGCAGCTCACTGTGAATCACTGTGCTCTTGGGTAATTTTACATTCAATGTGTGCAACCCCTGTATCCATGGTGATGTCAGAGTGAACATTACATTTGGTTGTTGGTTGCTGACAAAATTAGATAGACACAATACCGAATATATTGCAACAGCAATGTCCAAACTTTGATTTTAACCAAGATTTTAACACAAGATTTTAACCGAATTGCATCAAAATTAGAAGCATACCGTAATTCACATAATTTTACTTTAGTAGGATCTAACAAAAGTAAATTGGATCCAGATTGCAAAAACTGCAAATGTGCACAATATGTCATAGAGGATGACTAACCAATTATTGAGACTATTATTTTTTACTCTGAATCAATGTTTCAATAAATTGTCCAAAACATATCGTTTTATTTCTAAGAACAACATTCTTACCTCAAGTCTGTTGCATTTACCAAGTTCATTTGTTTTGAAATAAAACAAAAAGTTTCCTCGAAGTCGACACCATCTTTCGCGGTAACCTAAATAAAAAGACGTAGAAGGTGATGTGAACTTCATGAAAATGTGATATTTCTATTCGCCCTACCCAAATTATTGTAATTTTTCTAGTTATCTTTCAATTTAAACTAAAAACGAACAGTTATGCCTACTGTACCTTCCCTAAGTTTGCTACCTGGCTGTTTGTGTAGCAGTCGGCCTTCGATTTCTGGGGGCTGGTAAGCTAAACGAATAAGTTCTTTTTCGTTGTATCGCATTTTGTACTAAAACGAAGATAAACTAAAACAGTTCTACCAATATAAAAAGAGTATGCGCTAGAGCATGTACAACAGGCGAAAACATGAAAGATGAAGAACTGAAGGAGTAAATGAAAATATACTTTCACTTCTTGCGCTGGGGAAATTTGATGAAACAGATGATCACGCCGTTAACGCAAACTTGTGACAGCTTCATCTTTCCAAAGGATAGCATGTATTTCCGGGTTGTCACCCTTTTGCGAAACTTGTCTATGTCGTAAAACCATATATTTCGTAAAACCATATATTTAGGGAGCACTCAAATTTTATATTCCGTGTGCTAAATCTTACAATCCGTAAACTACACCCACAATTTCATTGCGGTATTTAAAGTTGGCAAAAAGCATTAGTAACGCGTTTCATATATGGAAAATATACGTGGATTAATATTTCGATAGGCTGCAGTATAATTATACAATACATGTACTGTTGTACATGTATAATTATGTAATTACGATTGGCTATCAGAAGTTATGTTGTTGATAAATTGTTGGCGACCCCCAGTAAATTATTAAATGAATATATCCTTAATTTTTCAAACGTGATGATCCGCGATTATTTGTATAAAACATACAAATACAAAACAAAGAAAACATTAAGAGGCAATCAACATACAAGTGTGTAAAAACTATCTGTTCTAAACTAGATGTAAATAATACAAATTAAAATGTGCGTTTCAAAGCTGAGGAAAGAGTACTCAAACAGACAAATTTACAAAATGGCGGACTACGACGAAGAGTCTGTCTCGGAGCTGGAAAGTTATGATTCTGACGATGAGGTGAGCGTTTTTGCCGTAAATAGTGATCAAACGTGTTATTGCAAAGCTTTTTTGTTGTTTGACCAAATGTCTTGTATTTGTTTTATCTTATCAGTTACAAAGTGCTTTCAATAAAGGCGAACTAAAACCAGGTTTAAATTACCAAACACGTGCTCCGAAACAGTACACCAATAACACGGTAAGTAAACTATGGGTAACGAATTTACTTATCGTTCAAGTTCCAGCATTCTCTAAAACCGCCGATTTTTACTGTACAAGTACGATCGGATCCCTCAATCAACCAATGAATGACGATCTATTCGTGTGATATTCCATTCTAAAAGTTACCTAGCGAAGCATGTTTCTCAGTGCCCTAAACATTGTCTCCTTGAAAATCAAGCATGCACTCTCAAGCATGTCATCTTGAATCATTTCTTGTAATCCCCTCAAAATAGCTTGGTAATCTTTTCAGCTTTGCCATGACATTCTGTTCCAAGCTCAGATGGTTGCTCATGTGCCTTATGGTCTAAGTTTTCTCCTTGCCAAACTGTTGCATAACAGTAAATAAGACCACTTTGTTTTAAACAACTGGATTTTTGAATAACTGGTTCACTTATTTCTGATCTTAAAACACTGTATTTCTGTAAAATCACTGTTAATAAAAAAAGAAAAGGTACACAAACACGGACCACAATTTTTATTTTTCCCAGTAAAATGTTGTGTGTGTCGTAAGAGAAAACACGTTTATTGAGCTGAGTTGATTTATTTTTCATAGGTTGCAATTGATGAGAAATTAAACAGCATACAGAGCAATTTGGACTGGATAGAGAGAGTGGATATCACATTGGAATCCAAAAATACCAATAATGAAACAGATGCAGTCACTGACGATGACAACGATGATTTGATGCACAATGATTTTAAAAGAGAACTCAAATTGTAAGTAAGATGATATAGGATTCAAAGTGCCACACAATATTATGCTGCCCATGTGTTACTACTCTGTTTTTCATATAGGTGTATAAATGTTTCTAATCTGCTTACCACAGAAAGTGAAAATTAAAAAAAATACCTACTTGTCCTGACTCCAGTTGTCCACATAAAAAAAGTTGTCCAATAAACTTGCGTTTTTTAAACCGGTAAAAACACCAGTCAACTTTTGTCACGTTTCACAAAATACACCTGAATAAATTTGTTTGCGGTAACAATCAATCAGTCAAATTCATGTCACGTTGCTTTTCATACAACTGCTCAAAACATAGAAATTGCAGAGATTTTCTGTGAAAACGTCAAGTATTACAATTGTTAAAATGGTGATTTGTGTATTTATTTTCATGGTTGTCTCAAATAGACAACCAGTTTTCAGATTTGCTTGTCCTATGAGAAAAGTAGCTGTCCAAAACAATTGGACAGCAGACAAATTTTAACCTGGTATACGCATTACCAGGCTATTTGTTTTTAACCACATTATCTTGAATACGTATTACTGGTTATCAGTGACTGTTTATTTGACATACTGGAATAAATAAATAACTTGCTTGTACTGTCATTAAGAAGACTTGATAGTTTGTTATTTGTTGTCTCCAATACATCTTTCAAAACTTTTGACATATTATAATATTTTATGTAATTTTAAGATGTCTGCATGGCATTTAGGCTTCTAATACATGAACTTGAGCTGTATGTATGATTGTAATTAGAATGTTTTGTTTTTCATAGTTACCAACAAGCACAGTCAGCGGTTTTAGTAGCACTACCTCGGATACGAAAACTAGGTATTCTTACGAAACGACCAGATGATTATTTTGCTGAGATGGCTAAATCTGATGAACACATGAGAAAAGTAAGTGACTAGTGTTGAACATAGTGCCAGGCTACTTATCCCTGGTATATTTCCAGAGTTATTTGTCGTCTGTGAACTTCTAAGTAACTGACTGACAGCCATAAAATTATCAACAGCATGCATTGGCAGTGGCCTTCACTGTCACATGATCTGAAAACTACATAAATAATAATAACTTTATTACACTACTAAAAACCTTCAGAGGGTTTTTGTATGGTAAGGAACATAAATACAAAGAAATAAAAAACATACAATACATAAGAGATAAAAATAAAATGTTAGTAAAATAAAAGAAAAAATAAATTAATTACTTTCTGTGGTTTTAAAAATTGTGCTCTTTAAGTATAATACAATCTTGTATTCACAAGATGCATCGCAATCAGCCACAATGTACCAACTGCTATACGCTAACGCACTGAAAAATGTACATGCTATATGTGTAATGATATGAAACTAATTTGTTTCGCAGGTCAGACAAAAACTTTTGGGTAAACAGTTAGCAATGGAGAGATCAGAGAAAGCCAAGAAACTTCGAGAACTTAGGAAGTACGGCAAACAGGTAACGTGATTCTGTGATAGTCCTGATGCTCGTCACCTGTTATTATGCACAATGAAATGTGTCTCACTTTTTTCCTACATGAGGTTATATGCAGTGTGTAGGAGGGCCCGCTGTGGTGAGCAGCATATCGCCGGGCACGAGCCCGCATAGAGCCGCTGCAAGTGTAGGTCTTGGTTTTAGTAGCAGAAATTCAAGTGAGAACCTTAAAGACCGAAGAGGATTCCATATGAACATCAAATCAAATGTATATGGTTGTGATGACTACCACTCTTCAACATTACAAAATATTTTTCATTTATTTCTCTCATTTAGGTTCAAAGAGAGGTTCTTCAAAAAAGACAGAAAGAAAAAAAAGAACTTCTTGATTCAGTGAAGAAATTTCGAAAAGGTAACAAGCCATGTGTCCAATGATCAATTAGATATGTAAATAAAATTTGTAAACTCAGTAATTATTGAGTGAATTTTTTGTTCAGCTATTTCCACTGTTAAGTCAAATCCAACTTAATTAAATTCATTTGAACATGTACACTTAAACTTTCTGTTTCATTGAAAATTAATGACTAGGTCTCTGTGAATATAATCCAATTTAATACGAGAGAAAATCGTTGCTTTTGCAGTAAATTTCTACTGTTCTGCCAAATATACATAACTTTGTTTTCTTGCCATTGACAGGTCAAAAAGACAAATTAGAATTTGCTAACAGAAATATTGAAGCACCAAGTAATTTTAAAGGCAAACCAAAGAAAATATCACAGCCACAAGGCAAGCCTAAGTAAGTATTAAAGACATTGAATTGAAATAGTATGTACAAGGTTCTGGTCTCTGGCACCCCTAGCTGCTGTTAGGAGAGCAAATACCACCTAGACTACTAGTTTTACAGCAACCTGTGGTATTATTTTTCTGAATTTCACTCAACCTAAGGCATGATGCTAGTAATATAAAATTACCCAATCAAATTTATGTAAATGTTGCACACTAGAAGATGTTATAAAGGTTCTCGGGGGGGGGGGGGCAATGCTTTGGTAATTGGCCAGTTGGAAAGCTACACATGAACAAGAAATGTTGTTGAACCAATCAAATTTCTGCTTAGTAGCTGACAAAAATTTATAATTGTAGTAGCATTGCATGGAGCGCTGTTTAAAAAATGCATCACTCTGACAATTCACTCATTCTGTGTAATGTGACCATTTGTTTTTCTCATAGATGGACAAACTGAAATCTTTTCTCAACAGTACCTTTTCTAGATTGCCTCAGCATCATGGAATTTTAGATTATACCATAGAATTTTTTTTTTTGTAGACCAAATCCCAAAAGAGTATACAAAGATCAGAAGTTTGGTCTTGGTGGTTCAAAGAAGAGATCAAAGTCTAATACAGCTGATAGTGCAGCTAATGTGTCAGATTTCAAATCATCCAAACATAGCTATGGTACAGGACCTAAGGTAAAGGTTTCAATGCTGTCTTGTATTTACATTATAAGGTTGATTTGAGGGTTTGACTGCAGTGCTTTTCATGACTTCGTAAGCTGTCTCAGTTAAATTATTCTCCTCAAATTTGTGCTTGAAAGTGTTCCTTTCAGTTATTGTATACATATATGTACATTGTCAAAAAAGTCATGTATTATTGTCTGTCTAAACCAGGAATCCATTTAATGCTTGTTGTATGACATGTTCATTGCAAAGCTGACGTCAAGATGATACTCTGAGCAAAGCAGGTTTACATAATATAGGTTTTGATTGATTGTTGTATTAAACATGAACAATTTAGAGTACCGGTAAGTGTCCAAATCACATTAAATAAATCGATTATTTAATTGTTTGTTTTTTTTACTCTGTAGTTTAACAGAAGAAACACAAATAAAAAGAAAAATAGGAGACATGGTAAAATTAGACGAGAGAAAACAAGAGTCAAAGCAAGAAGATAAAATAATCATAGGGCTATGCCAGCATTTCCAAGTAAAGTCTGGGAGATAAATTCTGAAGGAACTTGTCCAAAAAGCACATTACTCGTAATACTGGTACATGTATTAAATTATGCATATGTATCTGCAGAAATACATTGGCAAGTACTATGTGTAGATATGTGACATTGTCAATGGACAAGCTTGACAACTCCTACGAAAACAACTATATTCACAGAACAATGACGAAGTTGCAAATGCTTGTAAAAATTCAATATTATTTATTTTTGTTTCCACCTGATGAGACTTTTAAATAAAAATACGTATTGATGACTACATGTAGTATTACTAGTGGGTGTGTACATTGTTAATACAAATATAAATGTACACCAGCATATGGTAGATTGTGTCTTATTGTGTAACAGTGGCTGATCTAAATCTACTCAATAAATTAGCAGTTTATTGATTTTAATCTCAGTTGATTATGATTATAAATAATCATGGGATACTGTAAAATACTTTCGCTGAAGGAATGATTCAGTGACAATAAAGTCTAGCTAAAATAAAGTATTTTACAGTAATATATTTCCCAATTCAGTTTTACATCATATATTTGAAGCGTATAGCAGGTATGTTTACTATTGTCTAAGGGTTGGCCTCGGTCACAGAAGTTCAAATGTAACAACTTACTTTTTTTGATGAATTAAATTTGATAAATTAAAAAAAATGTGCTTGGAATTGTCTAACAGATAACGTCTAAATGCAGAAACATGCCTCGAGCTGGGGGGGGGGGGGGGTTAAATGGTAACAAAAACTTGATTAGGTAAGAGAATCTTTGTGAAACATGGTAAATGTAAACACGCATATACAAAGCTAAATTTGATACAGTGAAAAAAGCCTATCTGATCCGACTGTTGGGGTTGCGTATTCAATCGACACAATCTTGTAAGTACCTTTGAACATTCAAGGACTTATTTTGCAATATACTACTGTAGAATACTTTATTTTCGCTGAAGGGATGATTCCGTGAAAATAAAATCCAGCGAATTTATTTTTTTTCCTATATTTCACATTAAACTCATCAAAAATCAGTGAAAATAAATTCTAAGCAAAACGCCCAAAAAGCCTTGTCAGCGAAAATTAATTCCAGCGAAAATAAAGTATTCCACAGTATATAATAATGACCAATCTCTAGCTTTGGACAAGCTTGGATGTTTAAAATGGCCATGTATCATTTGAAAATGCATCCATATTTAAATTTTGTGCATCTGTTTGTTCATGTGTAACAATTCGAGATCATTATCGCCATTATCATGGAAGGGTATATACAATCACCTAAATCCTATTCTAGATTTTACTATTAATCCAGCCATGCATTATAAATAAAGAACTTCCAGAGGGGAGAACATTTATGTTTCAAGAGGCAGATTAATTTTTCCCAAAAAAGACCCGTCCACCATAGGTTTAAAACTAATAACATGAAAAAGAAATGGCAGTTTCAAAATGAACGAAACTATGGATGGACTAAAATAACATCAGAAAATTATTACATTTATAACTGTATTTCAATAATCAATTTTACAAGATATTAGATAAACATCGTTCGCCAAAGTGCCATTTTTTCTCTATTGGACTACAACATTCGAGCATTCTTTTTATTGCAGGTTTTCCTGTTGCTCTTTCATTCTCCATGCAGCATCCATGTATTTTGTTATTTCTGAGTTCTGACGAGGGAAATGCAATCGTCTGTCTTCACGGTCTTGTGGAATCTGAGGAATGGAATAGCAAAATTAGTTATTGATATTCATGAGAGTAATTTTGAAGTTACCGCCGTCAAAACTTAAAAAGAGCGTATATCAGCAAAATGAATAGATTGTCTTTGATACAAAAAACTTGACAATCGTAACAATTTAGACATAAATAACTGTTTACAAATTACCATTTACTTGAATCTATCCAAACCTTGGTACATTTAAAAAGGTGCTTACTTGGTTTTGTAATATTTATTACTAGAATACACACAGGTCTGATTACTGTGTGAAAGTTCAGAACATTACATGATGGTAAAAAATACTGTCCTTTCATCAAATGTAATATACTAAACGAGTTGTCTATGATTCCCATATATGTTGAGGACATTATCAGAAAGAACACGTAAACCATGATGCTCAAGTCACAATTCGTGTATTGAGATCTATTCAGCTATCTGGGTTAAATGCTGTATTGTTGACAAAAATCACAGCCAAAAATAAAACGAATTCCTTTCAATGGTTAGATTGATGTGATTCTGAATGCGTGTTGCTGTGGAGGTATAACATCGGTCATTTCCCCCATGGCAACTATTCAACCATATTGTCACTCCATTAAATGTTGTTTTTGTACAGTGGTTTTTACAACTTGTTTGGAATGACAATTGCATGGCAGTGTTAAATACAGCAAACTCTAGGGTTAATAAGATCAAATGGTGGTAATAAAGCCGTGTCACAGTTTGTTGTGAAGACTTGCATGTTAATAATATCAATGTTGTGTATCAGCAATGTACAGTAGGATATGACAGTGATAAGTTGTAAAAATACTGGCTGTACTTTACCAATCTAATGATAGATGCAGGATTGCCCTTAGAGACCCATGTCTATAGACTATAAAAGTATTTTGGTAATGCCTTTATTGAGTAAACTACTCTGGTTAAATCTTTTTCTTCAACCTCAAATTTTGTTTGAAGGCTTTAATTATTGGCATGAGAAGTAATATAGTAAGGTCTAATAGAGATGCGGTATTCATAAGTTGCCTCATTTGGAAGTTTTTTTGCCAACACTAAAATATCATTGAGCAGTTGTGTTAATTTGGTTGTGATTAAGTTTAAGCATCTTAGGGTGTAACTGATTGCACACAAGATTCCCTGGTCAACATAGCAGTGCTTCTCCTTTTGAATTTACAGATACTTGTGTCACCACTGAGTTTAAGCAAACATCATGTACTTCCTAGGTTAGTTGTGTTTAGCACGCATCTGAAGCAAAATTTGAACACCAATGCATGACAGGATTTATTGTACCGGTAGTGAAGACAACTTTGTTAATAAACAGCCAAATACTGTAAACACATTAATTATTTGTTTGGTGTTTAATTTCGCTATTTTCCTCGATACTGTTAGGTGAAATTCACTAAATACGTGTTTACTTGTAGAATAGTTTTCCTGCTAACCTAAATCTAAGTGAATATTCTCAAAATAGTGAAATTAAATATACTCAGTTACAGTACCCTGTTACATCATGTTCATTTTTTGGCCGGATTATAACCCAAACTTGGGAGGGCTTTCAACTGAGTCTTTCCAACAATACAAATCTCTGCACAGTTATGACATATGGACAACACCTCCAATAAACAAAGGTAAAGGTGGATTGTGAACAAAGACAGTTCACTTGGCAGTAGCCTAGATTCACAGACTATCCACTCGTGTATGAAAAAGCTGCTATGATTTTGCACATTAAACCATGTAAACTTACTGAAACTATAATAGGATGACCACACTTTTGTTGCAGTTATTTGTTATCAGTTATATGATAAATAGTTATGGAGTTAAAACAGGGGAGTCATCACCTTCACACATGGCCATAGCGCATAGTTTGCGTATGGTAGAAACCATACATGCAGAAGCCTAATACTGGTATCTATTCCACTTTCCAGGGAAAGCCAATGATTGCAGTAATGGTCAGTTATTGAAAATGTGATAATAAACAATCTTCATCGTGACATTGAAATTATTTATACTTACCAATGGTTTTGACATCCATCCAATCTCTTGAGCTTCTGTTTGTGGAAAAGTGTATTTTTTGACTGGTTCTTGATGTGCTCTGTGTATAATTTTAAGGAAATTGTCTGCAAGAGAGAAGATTTAACAAAACATATAAAACATTTCCTGCATCTCTTTGGAATATTTATATGACTTGAAACATAACAGATGCAGGGTTCTCCCCACGCTGGACGGCGCCGTCCGGCACTCAGAATTGTAATTACTCTCTGAAATGACTTCCCAATGTGAATATAAAGTGTGAAAGAAATTTGGCAATAGAGCATGCCTAACCTATTTTCAGTTCATATACATGTATTTTATTCATTGTTCAGTGATCTTTTGAACCAATTTTGATCTGACATGTTCGCATTGATCTGATTCATTTTGTTCTGAACAACATAAACTGCCAATGACTGCAGATCAAAACAATGATTTACAATTGATGCTGTAAATGTCATCCATGGTACAGTGATTCATCTAGAATTCTTGGGAAAGTGTATTAGTTTTATATGGGGTTATTTAACCCTAATTTGACAGCAATTATCACATGATACAAAGTTTATACTGTAAAACCATTTAATTTCACTGTTTTGAGTTTATACACTGTGTTCTAATTTCATGAATTTGTCAGGGAGTTTTATTGTTATTTTACATGTTCGCGTAGATTGTATTTACTGTATTTCACTTATCCGCGAAAATAGCGAAATTAAAACCCACTGAATAATTAATACATCAATAATATGCGACCATAAACTACAGACGTCCCTGGCTTCGGAACATCAATATAATAGAATCAAAACAAACTTTATTTTTTCACTGACAGTTGAACCATATGATTGAACCATGGAGCTCCATGATTGAACTGACATCAATGAGAAAATACCAAACCATTATTATTATAGATTTAATTGTTGGAATATGTTTTGTTTAGTGTAGTACTGTACTATAGGTGGTGGTGATTGTTTTTTTTCTAGTATGTTAACGGGGGTATATTAGAGGTGTAAATACGTACCATCTTCCTCGCCGTCAGCGGAATCATGCGTTGAATTTGGTTTTCCGGTCAATGTGTACACTGGAAAATAAGATAAACAAATTATCGATGAAAAGGTGTTATTTGTTGACCTAAAACGTAACGAAGCCATTTCAGTGATTTCGGTCAAAGTAAAAATATGCCCCGGAAATATCCACTCTTCCTTCGAATTGTGACGTTCAAATATAAGTATTTATGTGTTATTTAAGTCAATAAATGGATAATGAACTGAAATAAAACAAATATCGAACATTCTGATCGACTCTGACAGTGCCACCTACTTTTTCTGAATGGATTGACGCTGTACGTTGTGTATAGTTTTTGATGCCTCTGTTCCTTTTTGATAGTCTCTTCTAGAATGGCACTTTGGTGAACGATGTTTATAGGATCCTTGGCTGCTGTTGCCCCTTTCGACATTGTGGACGGATTTTTTCGCGGGAGAAACAGAGAACAGAAACGATATGTAAGCAAAGGATGCCTTGGCTGCTGACCTATTTATTTACTGCGAGTGACGTCACCCATAGTAACAGTTGCCTGGAAAGTGCGACCTCGTTTGACCAATCACAGACGACCATAGAGGGCGGCGTGGATTAACCGCGTTCTTTCCCATGATGCAGTTTTAATTAGACGCCATGTTGCTGAGTTTGGAACACTGCAGAGAGAACGACGAGAACTCATAATTTCGGCAATTTCTTCTCATAATACCACTCGACGAAGCAAAAATAACAGCAGTGCTGGATACAGAAGATTAGAGTATATATCAAGGATACAGTTGCACCGGTGAGTATTGATTAAACGAGTTTATTATTCTCCTCATTCAATAAGCTGCGTTTTTATTTTGATATTTGGATTTTGTGACTAGATTCTAGTTCTGTTTTTCAATCGGCGATATATCAAACCATTGGGTTAAAACTCATCGTCAAAGTATTCGTTAATTGTTGGTTGTGGGCGAAAAGAAAACATAACATATAATCTAATAATTAATTTATAATTAATAACCGATAAAATTTATGCATTACTACTTTTGTTTTGAAGACACAAATGAATTTGTCATGCTAATACATTTAATACTATTCCTGTTTGTAGGTTCTGGTAACAGTACATAGCGATATCCAGTAACTAGAGTTCTTAGCAACACGATGTCAACGGTCTTGCCACAACATACAACAATAATAAACCAATATTATTGGTAGACATCCAATCTATACATTATATTACCAAGTTCTGCGCTGAAGTTCCACGGATCTGCAGCATAATTTAGTGCAATATATATTACTAATTTTACAAAGACATTTACTACAGAGATGGATCTCGAGTATGAAAATCGTTTATTGAGACAACAAAATGGTAGAACTTCAGTTGGTTCACCAATAATATCGGTAAGTATCCATGAGTGAAAAATAACAGGAAGTAAAAACAATAGAGTTAGAGTTGTTAAACAATAGACAAAAGTCATTTCGTTTTCCATTCAATACACACCAGCTGTGGGTTTAAACAGACAAAGCATTTGGACGAGATCCAGATTTTGTAGTTCTTTGTTGTTAGACACCAGTATTGGTAACATTCATTTTATTGTCATATTAAAAATGATAGAACTAACATTTGAAAACTCATTCAATTTATAATTTCAATTTTGTTATCATCATTTATAGTTTTCTCTTTTTTTCCCCAAACAAATTCCTAGTGTGAATTTAACAACACAACTACTGGACTTGTGCCAATAACTACCCACAATATTTCAACATGTGTTTTATGGAAAGTGTTCATAACTTTTACTTAAATAAATATTTGCAGTTTATCATTTATCTGTTAGTGTTGATCATCCAGTCTCTGGGTGTGCATGTAATATGCAGTTAACAGTCATTGAATTGGAACAACCTGTTTTTCCTTTACAATATAGCCTGAAAACATTTTGGTTAAATTGTAGAAACAAATTCAGTTTCATAGAATTTTTACTTAAATAAATATTTGCAGTTTATCGTTTATCTGTTAGTGTTTATCATCCAGTCCCTAGGTGTGCATGTAATATGCAGTTAACAGTCATTGAATTGGAACAACCTGTTTTTCCTTTACAATATAACCTGAAAACATTTTGGTTAAATTGTAGAAACAAATTCAGTTTCATAGAATTTTTACTTAAATAAATATTTGCAGTTTATCATTTATCTGTTAGTGTTTATCATCCAGTCCCTGGGTGTGCATGTAATATGCAGTTAACAGTCATTGAATTGGAACAACCTGTTTTTCCTTTACAATATAACCTGAAAACATTTTGGTTAAATTGTAGAAACAAATTCAGTTTCATAGAATTTTTTAGTTCAGTATGCATTGCAAATCCTAGTGTATGACAAGATGAAATACTCAGACTACATGTCTAGCAGGAAGATTCCCAGCCGATCATTACACTATATTGTCCCCCTAGTTTTCACACTAAATTCAACACAATTAAAACATTAACACAAAACTTGATTGAAAATTGACACAATAGACCAGCTAAAGCATTTCCCTCTGTTTTATAGTTGTACTATCTGATATTTAATTTTTATTCACTTGATTCATCTACTGAGAGTTCCAATTAGACACTAAGTTCTGTTTAATTTTCCATTTAATTTTGTGGATTTCAATTGTCAAGAAAATTAAATTCTAAGTAAATAATGCACTATGCACATTTCATCAACATAAATAATTACCGGTAACTGATTAAATTATCTACACGCATTTACAACTGAAATTGCTTCTCACAAATGCACTGTTCATGACTAAACTGTCTCTTCTTTTTTTTGCAGCCACTAAAGTCTCCAAATTCACTTATTTCTCCAACCAGAGAAAAATACAGTGACAGGTATGAATTATCTTTAGTTCTGAAAATGCATTTCAGGCCACAATATTTGTAGTTGCTTATTTCTAATGTTACTGTAATAAAAAAAAACTATTGTGGTGGTACTGTCACATCCTGTATATGCTAATGCACTTATTTTTGTCAACAGGTTCATACCAAGCAGAGCTGGTAAAAATTGGCATGTAGGGTTTAATTTAATACAAGAGCCTACAAAGGAGTCCCCCACAACAACTAGGAAAGCTAGAGAAGCACATTCAGAATCTGCTAAAGGTATCAATAATCGCTGTGTCATAGTCGTATTAATGCCTGAAAATATTTCTTGTCATATCTTTGTATGCTAGATATTAAAAAACCTTCTAATCACTAAAGTCTATTGATGTCTTATTACCTTTCTAGATGGGCTAGCATATAACTGTCTTTTAAAAAATGAACTTTTGGGTGCCAACATTGAGAAGATACGAGATCCACAAACGGAAGACAGAAGACTGTCACTTAGTAGTCCTGAAAGTAGGAATCTCTTCAAGTTTAAAAGTCAAGCAAAAAGACCGTGTTCTGAGGCTGATGAAGATTCATCACCATATTCGTTATCACCTGTTGGGCATAAAAGGTAAGCTGGGTGAAAGTTTTATATAGTTGTGTCCAGATCGTGCTTCTTTTTTAGTAATTTGTCAGGAATTTTTTTTAACATTTTGCTGTTAAAACGATCAGTTTGGCCAAGAAATCGTATTTAAAATACTAAGACTCACAACATCAATAAAAATTTGTTTTTGTCATTTCAAGATCGACTCCACTAAAACTTTGATTTAATTTATATATTTTTGTTTTTATTTTTGCAGTCAACGTCTTTTGAGGTCTCCGCGTAAACAGACAAGAAAGATTTCCAAGATACCTTTTAAAGTCTTAGATGCACCAGAATTACAAGATGATTTTTATTTAAATTTGGTTGATTGGTCATCCACCAATATACTCAGTGTTGGGTTGGGTACTTGTGTTTATCTATGGAGTGCATGTACAAGTCAGGTAAGCAATCTCAATGTTATCTCAGATGTCCTTTGATCTTGAAATGCCTATGAAAACAGTCAGCAACTTGGCTGGCAATGTTGCCGTTTTGGTGTAGGAAACAATATGGTGGTCACAGTAAATCACTTTCTTCATATATTCATTTTATTACAGGTAACAAGGTTATGTGATTTGTCTTGTGATGGCGACTCTGTGACTTCAGTGTCCTGGAATGAAAGGGTGAGTCTTTTAATCACATACTGCTTTATATTAGCTTTAATTAGGAAATTGTTTGCTTGTATTTTGTGTCTGTTGCATGGAAAACTTGGGGAGAAGATGATTACTAAATTCCTGCTTTAATAAACATTATGTACATGTAATAGAGGTTGTTCTGCTAGTTTTGAAGAAACAATAACAATGAATACAATAGATGATATACTGTTTAACTGGGGTGAATGCTAATTACATAGTAGTAATTATGTACTGTTAAAAATATGTATATTATTGTTTTCCGTCTATTTAACAACCCTCTGTTTTCTTAGGGTAACTTTGTTGCTGTTGGAACTCATAAAGGTCTTGTTCAAGTATGGGATGCCAGTGCACAGAAGAGAATATCTACACTGGAAGGCCATTCTGCAAGAGTTGGTATGTACAATATTGCATTTGCTGCTTTACCAATAATACCGTACTCGACCGCGTTAGCGCCCATGCTCGGTCAAGCGCCCACCCCCCACTTTTGCACAATTTTTATACTCTGGGTCACATTCGGCAAAGCGCCCACCCCTTCAAAATGCCAATAATTTATCGTTTTTATATGATACAACGTGGATATTGACAGCCGTGAATATGTTGTGAATGCGTAGACCACGGTAACCATGCGTAAACTACACTTCGACAATGACCTGTTAATAAAAGTAAAATGCGGTAAATATTTCATGCCGTATTCAGTTTACCGATAAAAATTGATATTTACCATTTAAAAAACGAAAACATGTCGTTTATTGGCCGAAATCAACTCCAACAGATCGTACTTCACATCGACAATTCACTTCCACATTGCGTTACCTGAGGGTCTTCGGGAATTTCCGAAGAATTGCGTCAGTACCACACAGCATTTTGATTGGATAATAACAGACTTGACCCGTTAGGTCAAAGGACGTTGATGCAGGACAAATGCAAATACATCATGGCGGAAAGAATTTGCGTACGATCGGACACATTCGCCAGTGGCGATAATGAAGATTTTGACTTTGAATGTGTTCCAACAGACTCAAATATTTTTAATCTCATAAATTCGGGTGGTACGTAATTAATATTGTAATAAAATGTGCATATTTGATCACTTCTGTTTCTTCATTGTAGGAGTCAATGACGACTCACCTAATTTCGTAATTTTATTTTCCCTCAAACTTTTAAAGACGTAATATCCCCCTAAATCTGTTACATAGTGAATTAACATTGTCAGTTCCACTCTTTTCCAAGGGGGGTGCTCGAGTAAGCGCCCACCCCTAAAAAATCTTTATTTTATGAGTTGAGGACACTGGGCGCTAACATGGTCGAGTACGATAATGTATTAATAATGCAGCTTTGTAAATGAGTGCAATGATGAATATTGTTTGATTTAGTGATTGGTATCTCGTCACGCTGGTCGGTGGTGGTCGGCCAGACCGGCACTCCCCTTGGGCTGGCGAGATCCCTGGTATCACCAAAACTTCCAGTGCTGGCTAACTTCAGTTCTCCGTAATGTCAGAATTTGTAATCATCATTTCTCATGGTAATCACAATCACAATAGGAATGTGCAAAATGTCACCCCAAACATCTTTATTTCATCTATTTAAGAATGTTTCTAGTGTTTTTAGTAAACTAAGAAGCAACCCAACCAGCAGTATTGCACACAAATAAAACAGCAATGTGAGCTTGTATTGCAATACTGCTGGTTGTTTTTTTGTTTGCAGTAAAGCCAACTTCAATGTTGAAAATTGCTACCACAGTTCATAGTCTAATATCTGGATTGTTTATACCAAATTACGCTTAGCTTATTATTTAAAAAAATCACCAACTGCACACTACAATTGTACCCTGTTAATGAAAGCATTGTTTGTCTCTTTGTATAGGTGCGTTGGCGTGGAACGCTGATATTCTATCATCTGGTAGTAGAGATAGATTGATTTTACAGAGAGATGTTAGAACACCATGTATTGTGCCTGAAAGGAAACTACAAGGACATAAACAAGAAGTCTGTGGTTTGAAATGGTCACCTGATCACCAGCACTTGGCGTCTGGTGGAAATGATAATAAAGTGAGTGTATAATGTTGTATATGTACCTGTAAACCATGCACTACATAATCAAGTTCGTACAAGTGACTTGATCATAATACTGCGAGACAATTATATTTAGTGCTATCATTTCTCAGAATTTGACGGTAGGAAATTCCATGATAATAGTCACTGTCACTCACTTCCTTGACAACCCAAATAACTGTCAATGCTACAAAATGTCAGTTTACCTTGAGGTAATTACTATGTTAATCAAGTAAACATTTACTGTGTGATTAAATCAAACCACCACTTGTGTACAGCACTAAAGTGCCTAGCTATACAAAGTGCCCCTTATCTTGCATCCTCAAAAAAAGATACTTAATAACCAAGCTTATTGCACTTGGAGACAGTGAAACCTATTCACACTGAACTTGCACAGTGTAGTCTTTATAATTTATGCATAAAATTGTTTTCATTCACTTACAACATATATTGATTCTATTACAGTTATTCGTATGGAACACATCAAGTTTATCTCCAGTGCAGCAATACACAGAGCACCTAGCTGCTGTAAAGGCAATCGCCTGGTCTCCACATCAACATGGTTTGTTGGCGTCTGGCGGTGGTACAGCTGATAGATGTATTAGGTTCTGGAATACATTAACGTGTCAGCCACTACAGTGTGTTGATACTGGATCACAAGTCTGTAATCTAGCCTGGTCGAAACATGCAAATGAGCTGGTGAGTAACATGTATTGCTGATTTTTCTATCATATTGTGCCTATATGTTTAGCACTGTGAAGTGGAGACCAATAAATCATACGAATTAATTTTGTGTGTAGTTTCTTAGGGCTCCAATAAGGAAACGGTGGAAATACTGTCATTTGTTAGCATGCTATAACGAACCATTCTTGTGCAGCTCAGCTAATGTTTCATTTCAAAATTATCTTTGAAACTTGCTGTTATTAATATTTACTGGGCAACGCATTGTATTTAATGTTGTATTTCCTTCATAGAAATCAGCTGTCCTTTGCACATTATTGTGAGTGACAATTTGTTGCTAATTCTGCTTTGCGTCATTTGTCGACAGGTCAGTACACATGGTTACAGTCAGAATCAGATTTTAGTTTGGAAGTATCCATCACTTGTACAAGTTGCTAAACTTACTGGCCATTCATACAGGGTTCTTTATTTGGTAAGTATGTTCTTCAGCTCCTGGCATACTTGGCCAATATTTGCTTATGCACATTCTAACCTTTTACCCACATGTGTCTATTTAGTACCAGAAAGCTCATTTTGTAAATAAATGAAGCTTATTTTTCACATTTGGTAGTAATTATCACTGTAGAATATTATGGCCTTGTAGGGGTTAATTTGGTTTAAGATAAATATTATTATCAAATACTAGTATATTATTCATACTTCTGCTCGAACAGATGGGTAAACGTATGTATGCATAATAATTAAATTGTATACTGTAAAATACTTTATTTTAATTTTAGTGATTAAGACATTTTGAGTGTGAAGTTTATTTTCGTTGATTTTTGATGAGTTGAATGTAGAATATAGAAAGAAAGGTGTATTCACTGGATTTTATTTTCATTGAATCATTCCTTCAGTAAAAATAAAGATAATTTCCCCCCCAAAATTTAGAAATTTTACAGTAGTTGATTGCACTGTGTTCATGCTGGTATTTATTATTGGTTCATGTAGGCAATGTCTCCAGATGGGGAAGCTATCGTAACCGGTGCTGGTGATGAAACTTTACGATTTTGGAATGTATTCAGTAAAACAAGATCTACCAAGGTGAGTGGTTTTGTTTTGTTTCTGTAGGTGTATTCAAACATTCTGGTCATTAATTTGTGTTGTGCGAAATGAAAACCCAATGAAAACCCTATTGCCTTGCTCGTTATTGTTCAAAACCAAAGCACTAAGGGACGATGTCAAAAGATCGATGTCGGATAAAAAACTTAATTCTTTTAGTTTTGTCCCAAAACCCCCCACCCCCCACTGAAACTTAATTGATAAATATTGATCATGGCGTCAGACTACATTCACCATTAAATACAAATTGATAATCGGACAGTAGTATGGCATAGCAGTTGGTTGTAAAAATGAAGCAAAATATACGCATGCGCAAACTACTTTCTGGGTTCTGCGGATGCTCTAGGTCCGCCCTGAAATTGACCTCATTTGACGCACATATTTACACTCGGGCCAAACCATTTTCTCGTCTTGGGTGTTTCTTTTTCACTTTCTGTTATTTTTGTCTATGATTGGATAGAAAAAAACGAACTATAAATACTAATAAGTTTTTTTTGACTTCATTAAAAAATAAAATCGTTTTTGTGGGATGGAAACTTTTTGAGGCCAAACCCACCCCCAAACTAAAGCAAATAAGTTTTTTATCCGACATCGATCTTTTGACGTCGTCCCTAATTGTAGGCAGTATCTTTTCTAACATTTTATTCTTGTTCTTTTTTTCAGGAATCCAAATCTGTGCTGAATCTCTTCAATCATATACGATAATGCAACCTGACTGTATATTCAAGAATCATCACTGAAATTCATATATATCATATGTGTATATATATTTTACTGAGCTGTACAATGTTGTCATGATTTTGGTTTTTAGTTTCACGATTACATTCAGAATTTGATGTCGTGATCTAAACATATAACTCAAGATGTACTGATTTTTTTTTTTTATTTCTAAAATAACCAACTCTTGCGAGTTATTATTTTTATGTTTCTTGTGATTGCTACCTGGTCACTGCCGTATTTGCTATACAACTTTTCCGTCAGTGTTTAAAGCAGCAAAAGACAATACAACGATAGTGTCGTTTTTAATTTTTTTTTATATATTCAGTGTAACACAGTGCAAGTTGCTGAGTGATAGTACAGCTAGATGTAAAAAGTTTCAAAGTATTTAAAAGTATAATAAATATTAAAACTACAATACAACATCATGTGCAAATTTGTTATTTTTAAAGGGAAGGGTTTGGGGCCATGAATTATTAGTGGAACCCAATAGCCTGTAATGTTCATTACTCTATGCAGTGTTCAACTTACTATATACATCACTTTCTTGAAAGATGACCAGTGGTCATCCTTAGGATTCCTACTGACTGTAAAGTTGATTAAAATGTGCAGTGCGT